AAGAAGTGGCAGTGGTGAATGAACCGTGGCTTGATTCCTTTTCCACTGGGAACTCTTAAATGGGTCATTTAAAGCGAATTAAAACAGTGGGGAGTTAGGAATCAATTGGGAATGATTCTGGTCTCAAAGGCAAAATACAATAGAAAATAACTCTCGGTGGAATGAAATCTAAAAAGCATCTACATTCCCTTTTAAAAGGGACTTGATTAAAATAGTTGAAAGCATTTATTTACTCAGAACCGAATTAATTCTAAGGCCGAAAGAAAATTAGAATGTTACTGATGCATAAAAGTGATGAACATAGCCATAAAGATCAATGATGAATCGTTGTGAATATAATGTTACAGTCGAGAAGCATTATGCAATTTATTTGGTATTATTTGATGAAATTAAGTAAATGGTTATGATAGTTATAAATTTGAGTTTTAATTCTTACTTAAAGTTAAATCACAGCAATAAATCTCCTTGAAATTTTTATCCCCATGTAAATAGCTTGATTAAATCAGAAATCTGCTTTCTGCAGACTTAGTGATAAGTTTTATTTTGGCGAAGTTTGGCGAGGTCTAGTCAAATAGGCGAACTTTGGAAAGTACTTAAAAATGAAATCTGATATCTGAAATTTTCCGTAGAGAAGTCTAAACATATTCAAGAAAGGCTGCGACATTTATCATGTAATCACTGCCACTACTGCTAGAGCATTTAGCCGCTATCTTTGAATCGTTCTCACTTGCTTCGGGATAATTGATGGATAAAATACGGTTTCCCCCCTCTTTTTTCCCCATTTTGAAAATACTTACTGTATCTTCTGTAATCAGTCTAACATGGTAAAACAAAATTTGTTTTCGCTCTGCACTGGTGATGCGCTTCTTACTGCACATGATTTCATAGAATATAATTTCTTTTCATGCGACATTACAAGATCTATGCCGCCCAGAGAATATAGTGCCTAGGCGAGCCTACTGTGGTACTAAAGGGCCTGGGTTCAAATCCCGGAGAAAGTGTGGATGTTTGTAAATGTATAGTGTCTATGTGGCATGGGAGCACTGTAAATACATGGCGAGCCGAAAGTCCTATCAAGAGGTTGGTGGTATAGGAGACCGTCGGACCTGTCCCCCCTAGGGTGCTCTCCGTCAAAATTGGGGATGTTTGTAAATGTATAGTGTCTTTGTGGCATGGGAACACTCTAAATATCTGGAGTGCTGAAAGTCCTCTCGAGAGGTTGATGGTAGGGAAAGAGGGGTGGGAGACCCTAGGATCCGTCGCCCGGGGTGCTGTCATCAAAACTGGGGGGGGGGGGAACTGAGCGAAGTCGTACTGTCACCTGTGTGGTGCTCAAGGCTCTTATCAACGACAGGCACCATCTTGCTGTCCCTGCCACGATGAATTTCGTGGGCTTGTTCTGACGTTACTATCAGAAAAATGAGATAAGTCACAACGCAACAAGAGCTATTTAAGATAGATGAGAAAAACATGACAGTATAAACTGCCTTCTAAAGTCTGCTGCTCCCAAATTTTTTGACATTGCAACTCGCTGTATTTATTCGGCGGAGGACGGGAAAGAGGCAAGAACTGGAAAAAGGAAATGGCATTAAAAATTGTGTAACTAAAAATAAATACGATTTTAATAATTAGCAATTAATAAATCCCTTTAAAATTCGTAAGAAATATTGTTTATAAATTATTATTATTTAGTAAAAGACATATGGCAATTCACCAAAAGTTTTCTTCCGACTTACTAATAAGTCCTGATTCGCAGTTTGCATCAAATGTAACTAAAATATGATGATCAGAAAAAACCCAATGAGTGGTAATTGTCTGACACGCTATTATATTTACACACATAAAACTAGGAAACATACTTTTGACATACATACATATATACATATATTTATGCGTAAAAGATAATGTAAACACCCATTAATAAATATCGCCTAGTATAGAATAGCCTTCATTTTCGTCCCTGTAAAATCAGCAAGTCATGCATCTTTTTTGCTCCTGTTAATCTCATTAGTAAATTATATGCTCTCATTCGTTTTTAATAATTTGTTTTTCTGCGCCCACATCCCCAGCGAATAAAAGCTCACATCATTAGATCATTATTTCAGCCATTTTTTGCTTTGGTACAGTCAATACAACTCATTTTCCACCATGCGTGTGTTTCTTTTTCTTTAAAATTATAATAAGCGAATTATTAGTAATAAGTGAACGCTAAAAGAATAATTTGTGTGCTCTATTTTAATTGTTTCCTGGTTTTCTGACCAATCAGCAGCAACGAAATATATGCTTCTTTCATATTATTTGCTGAAAAAATTATATTTAACTGGACCTGCTAACTTCGAAAATTTTTCGCGACAAGTATTAGAAATTTTTATTAAATAAAGCATTCTTAACATAAATTGTGCAAGATTGTGAGGTTGTGATGTTTTAAAATTATTTTATCACCGTAAAAGCTTTAGTTTTTGTTATCTCGTGTTCTAGAATGTTCATTTGAAGTTCCATAAACTTATTTAAAATATACGGCAATTGGGAATGTACATTAATTTGAAATTTGTCGAGATGATTTTATTATGAGAATTTTTGGGTAAAAAATATGTGTGAGAGCTATATTCCGTGAATGATATTGAGTTTGAAATGTTTTTCGTTCAGAACGTAAGATGCGTTTGATTGACACTGACACTTACAATGTTGTCTCGAATAATAAGCAATCTGATGTGGGCATTCTTGACTGTGCTATTCTTGACAGTGTGGGACTTAAATATATTTAGTCCCGTAATTTCAAAACTTTGGTAACAGGAAAAATGCTCTATCGACACTAACAGTATATACGAGGAGATTTCCTTGTATAGCCTACTTAAATTATGCATATTTTTTGCTGCTCTTCATTTAAAACTTATTTCATTGAGATATGTTTCTCATTCAATCAATTCAGTTCTCACTTTGCGGGAAGGCGAAAACACATAAAAACTGAAAATATCTTCACTAAAATTGTAAAATACAGAAAAACCTAAAACATCAAATGTAGTTAGAAACAATTAAAAAAATTAATTTTTTCAATTAAAATTAATGTGTATATGCCAAATAAGCAATTCGGCCAACGTGTACAAAGACAAAATTTTCGGTACACAAAAATTTAAATCCTGCTGCTCAAAAAGACAATGAAGTTAGTGCACCAGCTGACTTAATTCACTGTACTATTAAGAGTTTCAAACGTAATCAAAGGCCGTTTCGTTAGGTTTAGTAGCACTTAAGCAACTTTTAAATTGCTGATAATTCTACAACTATTGCATGCACATTAACCAGATAAGCAACCTTAACCGGAACATAAGAACAACATAATTCTGTCACTTTAAAAGCAAAAAATGCACGATTTAACAACACATAAGAATGAGAAAGCAGAGTTCACCGAGCTGCGTAAGAGGGCGGGTATATACCAAACGTAAAAACTTTACTGGTAAAGCCAATATATCTCAATTTCTTTAACTGTTCCGAAAATCCACATGAATAGCCCCTGTAATATGTTTCATACGAAAAATATCGCCCAGTGCCACAGAGAGCGGACCGCCTTCCTTTAGCTACGCCACTGCTTCGGACGTTATAGCTCACTTCACAAGTTTCATTTTGCAATGCTTCTCCCTCCCATCGGTCAGGTCTACCCCCCGTATAATTCAGTTTATGGCTTTGCACTGGGATGATATAATCCAGCGATCTCCAAACTTTTTTATCGCGTACCCAAGATGAAAATAATTATTATAGGTTTTACCTCATATAATATAAAATAAGATGATATAAGATATGTGCGTGTGTATGTAGATGTTGTCAAAAATCAAATTATTGATTATTTACCCATTTTAAATAAGATACAGACATTTAAATTAAATTACGGATGTAGATTTTGAAATAGATTTTATATAAGCAATGCGACTGTGTTCGTTAGTAATGTTGGAATAATCTGGTTTTGTGCCCTGTGTTAATGCAATTCAAAGATCTGCTTCTAATTTTAATTTATTTGTGTATTTCCTTTTAACTGTTTTCCCTGCTGAAAACGCTACTTCATACAGATATCTAGGACAAAATGAATTAGTGCTTATAAAATCTGGAAATTCGTTTTCAGTTATATCCACCAATTATAAAGACATTTTATCTTTAAAATAGGATCGAAACGTTGTTCTTTCTCTCGTGTCAATCAACTGTTTTTGAGTTGCAGGTTAAAAGATGATCTGTTTTTGCACTTTCATGTTCCATTAAAACACTGTTATAATACTAGGAAGATCGTTAAATTGCTTTTATTGCACATTTACTCCATTTGCAGCAGTAAAATCACATAATGATGCAAAAATTTCAAATGAACCCTTTTCTAAAAACCCGTAGTACGATCATACGCTCGCAAGTGATCGTGAGCGTACTTCTTTGGCGTAACCCTAAGTGTCACTCTGCGTACCCCCTGATGTACGCGCACTCCACTTTGGAGACCACTGATATAATCTTACCGCCTCCCCAAGGAAACGATCTCTAAATACAAAAAATAGCAGTAAACTTCCCCCTCTCTTCTCCTACAGTTACCCTTTAATTACACCTTGAACTTTTAACTATCTGAAAATGCAAATGAATTTTCAGCTATCTTTATTTTAAATACACGTAAATACTATTAACTTTTTAACTAATTTCCGTCTTTGTTATATATTTTTAATAACAGGTAAAGCTGGTAAAGGGCTATTAAAGTGTTATTGTAGACGGTATGTGTTGAAGCGTTACTGTAGAATTTAAATACTGTAGGTATATCCAAATTCGTAGACATTAAGATATATGATCAGAGTGACATCAAAACATGAATTAAAAGAGTAAGAATTCTAAAAATAAGTATTAACTTGGGAAAACTGGGGAAAACTATCTCCAAAGACATTAACGGTAATTGTCTATCATATTTTAAGCGTTTAAATATTTTTGTTTCTTAGAATACACATTTTATGTGCTTTTACTTATATATGTCTTTTTTCTTTTAGGTTAACTTCTGATGCTAGAAATGTTAAAGTACAGCCTACATTCGATGAAAACAGTACGAGTAAGTTTCCGATATTTCGATTCATTTTGTGTTCCTAGAACTTTAGAAATAGCAACTTCCCTCATGCCCTTCCCCAGAGAATGGGGTAAGAGAAAGAATATACTGATTAAGGGAGAAAATGCTTTATCTTAAAGAAGCAAAACGGGTATTAAAAAGTGAAGTACTTTATATTTTAAAGGCATTTAAATGATGCTAAAGTGTTTTTCTGATTCTTAGCCCCTCCCGTTTTTTTTACCTTTTTTTATTTTTAATAACAAGTTTTTGCTTTTTATTCAATATCTCGCGAAAGAAACTTATCAAAACTCTGTACTTGTGACGTAAAAATGTCGACGATTATTTCGAATATCTAAGTAAAAGTAATTAGAAAATATTTAAAATAAGTGGCATAAAGCGAATCCTTAATTCACTTTATGCCGAGGATTCTTAAATTCTTCTCTTTACTTCATATAATATAGGAACATTATTAATTTTTACGTGAAGAGTTCAGTGACGATGCATGTATTTGACAGAAGCATGTATGTATGTATTTGGCATGTATTTTGACAGAAGATCGGACTTTTTCTGAAATAACATACCCATTTTTTTTCCATGTTTCAATTCTACTACTCACATTATGCTAAACTGCCAAGTTTTGTTAAAATTGCACGAGTAGTTTTTAAAAAATTAGCTCTCAAACTTTTAGCTCCTCCATGTTAATTGACTTTGATATATATTTATTAATATCTCTTTTTTGTTAAACTTACTTAATTCCTTTTTCCAGAATTCGAAATTTAAGTTCATTCCAAATAAAATTCATCCATTTTGTGTCATTTATTTTATTTTAAAAATCTGTCAAAAATAATTTTTAATTACAACCTATAAAATTTTTACAATCATCTTAAAGTAGATGTATTTCTAAGCATACCTGCAAGAAATTAGAGCTTCTTATTTAGAATTTCCGAAGATACACGTGAATTTACATATTGGCGCGTTTTTAAGTTTGGCATATTTGTTAAAAGCGATAATAACGCCAAATGTGGTTTACGCACTTTGTTAAAGTGTTTGAAAGTATGAACGATGACCTTTTTTTCCGCTCGTGTACAATGAAAAAAGGAAAGGAAAATAGGTTGCTGTAAATTCAGAAGCTTCCCAAGTGAATTATTCAAGGTAGAAACTGGAAAAAAAAAAAATTAAGATAAATTTTTAAATTTCTTACCAAAAAGTAGAAAATTTAATATCTAGGCATAATTTTAGTCGTAGAATGGAAATATGGAAAACAATTGGCAAGTTATTTCAGAAAAGTCCGATTTTGTGTCAAGATATCCATGTTATAGCAATGCTAATAGTATATATCCTAAGTCGCGCTTTCGAGCCATGGAAAACGCAAGTTAAATTGCAACAATCGGTCTAGTAGAGAGGGAGATACAGAATTTTCACAGATTAATGCAAGTCTTAAATTACTTCATGGAAGGTTACCATATCTTTTAATGAAAGTTTGCATTTTCTATTTAATAATGGCCTTAATGCTTTAAGAACTAAAGTAAATCTCCCACCCCTTATTACGTAAACTGTGCACCGTGTAATCATTCTCAACATTTTGTCGTCAACGAACTCTTAAAGCATCATTTCTTATCCTTCTTATAGCGTCAATAGCAGCTGAGGAATCGTTGCAGGTGGCTAGCAGCGGATAGCCAGGAGTCTTTCTAAGATGTTCTACTACGTCCTACATGTATTCAGTTGGATTTAGGTCTGGGAATCAGGCAGGTCAATCCATGCGGCGAATATCTTCCTCTGCGGCATCTCAGTATCAGCCACTATACGATGAGGTATAGTGTTATAGTATTACCGTCCACAAAAAGGAATTTAGAGCCCACAGCACCTTGGAAAAGAAGCACTAAAGAAAGGAAAACTTTAATACAGTAGGCGATCGCCAGCGACTGAACTTTTTTGGGAGATGCATCAAACGGCATCAAGTATTATACTTTTCCAAACGAGACCTGTGCTACATCCAGACTGGTCTTTCATTGGTGGTGGATAGGCGATTGTGTGTTTTCCTCTCTTTCCAAACTTCCAAATGTTTAGACGTTAGGAATCGCTAGTCAGATGAAATCGGCTGCCATCTGTAAAGAGCCCTTTTCAGTGCCACAGAAAATGCTGTCTCTAGTGGATATCTATGAATGGCACACATTGTATTAATTGCCGAAAAAAACATTCCTCCAACTTGCGTCTGAAACACAAATTTTAACGTAACACATAAGGGAAGGGTTGGCATGTTGGAAAAGGTAATGGTAAAGGAGCAAAGTGCTGGACTTTCGTCAGAGTATATGTGATCCAAAGCTTTTGAGGGAATCCTACTTTACTTACCAAGTGTAACTAGAGGATTCACATTCGCAAAGTCGTACATGATCGCACATGATTCTCAGGAAAGTGCAACAAAAGATATGACAGTTAAATGTGTCAAAGCAAGTGCTTCGCATTTTTATGTTTAATGCCATTGTGTAATGTCACATTTTATTGAAAATGTTCTATTTTTAATACTACAAGCAATAAATGCATTCAACAAGTATACTAAATTTCCTTAATCATTAATTTATATTTTATAACTTTAGAAATTAATTGTAACTGGCTATCTTTCATTATAGGTGAAGTTTCTGTTCCTTTGCGCACCGATCTTCGGCTGGAACGCTCATTGGTCAACGTAACGCGAGAGAGCGGGGAGAGCGTGAAAATGCGGTGCGATGTCCGAGGACAAGGACCCGTCCATTTTCGATGGTATAAGAATGAGGCCCCTGTCGAAGAGGAAAAGGGCCGAGTAGAGATCAAGAAATACAATCCTGGTCCTGGACGGGTCGGATCAAGACTTCGGATATCAAATTTAGATATCCATGACACAGGCTATTACAAATGTGAGGCCCATAGTGGAGGGCAGGAACCTGCAAATGATGATTCGGGAGAACCCCGTCATCTCCCGCGTGTAGAATCAACGGGCATTCTCATAGTTAGAGCCGGTGAGTATAATTTTAGAGCTGTACTGCAAAGAAAATTACTTTACAAACGGTTTACAAAATTCGTTCTTTGTAATGTTTATGATGATAGAGCTTTAAATGTGGTAAATTTTATTATTATTTTTTAAAAACACATGGTTTCTTTAGAAGTTAAGCAAGTGTGAAATTACACATGTTACACATGTTTGCTTTAGAAGTAAAGTTGTATTCTTCTTGTTTATAAAATTGAAGCAGATAAAATTATGTGTGGATTTTGAGGTATCAAATAATATATATGGTATAAGTAATCATTTCTCTGATGAAAACTAAAATATTTTAAGGAATTCACCATTCAACACGCTCATGGATTTCTGAAAAGAAACAAATTTTAAAAATGCTTACCCAGAGCACGAAAAAAAAAAAAAAAAAAAAAAGAAAGAAAAAGAAAATTAACATAAATATTTTCATAAGTAATAAGAAATGATAATTTTGTTCGGAAATAACATTATTGTTTTTATGCACAATATTTTGATTGAACGAATTAATATGACTGTTTCAGGCAGAATATTTAACAGGACAGTACAGAAACTAAAATCTTTTTTTAAATACTATAAAAATAAGCAAGAAAATTTACATACTTTGTTCATCATCCAGTAAAAACTGATAATGATTATTAATATAAAACTGGATGTTATGGTGTAATATATTTTAAAATTTTAAAACTTGTTCGTAAATATGGATAAGAAGTATGTTTAATGTTCTTTCTACTTTCTTATTGTCTTTCGCAATTTAAAACTGGAAGAAATAGAAATATTTTATTAAATAAAAGTTTCCTCCATCCATTTAAATGGATTCATTAAATTTACTCCATCCATTTATTAGAAATTCATTAAATTTACTACTAAATCCATTAAATTCATTAAATTTACTCCATCCATTTATTAGAAATTAAATATCACGAGACTACTGATACGCATCACCTACAATTGCATGTAATAAAATATTTATATTTATGAATTAAATAAATTTTGGACATATTGTTTGCTTATACTTTCATGACACAAATCCTTTTAAAATATGTTTGTAAGTTTGTCTAAGATATTTCTGAAGATTGATAAGATCCAAAGATATGGTCTCTATTAAAATTTTTGGTGAAATTTTAAAACAGACAAGTTTTCAAATAAAATATGTTTCCTAAAATTATCGTTAAGAATCATTGAGATTCTTGAACAACAATATTTCCTTTCTAGAGGGCTTGGACAAATGCCACGCCCATAAGGCCGTGGCTTGGGAAAGGGCAACCTGCATTTTGGCATAAAGTCAAAGAGCAGAAATTCGACCGAAGGTCTGCATGTATTTTCGAATCTTTTTGATGTTATAATTTTTTATTTATCTTGCACTTAGTAATGAATTGTTAATTGATCCTATTCCTCATTTTTTTTAGGAACTTGCACTTAATTGACGGCTGCCTTTACATCTGCCTTTTAGTATTTTTATATTTATTACTTTTTTAAGCTTATTGTCTGTTTAAATCCACATTCGCTATCCGTTGAGGTAAGCAATACAAAAAGAGGGATTTTTATTCTATTGCTGTGATTGTTTTTTAAATCAAACTTTTTCCTGATAAATTGTAATCAACTTTCCTATAATTACCTATCTTATCACTAAAAATTTATAAATTAGAAGATTCTTAAGCAATATACAGCGCAGAGTTAACATTTGAATGTTTTGCTCAAATTAATAATAACTATTACATTTTTAGACTATAAATAATAAGCAAAGGCACTGTTTTGAGGACAGCAAGATAACCTGCTTAAAAGGTTTTCCTCATTATCGTTAAAAAAACACTTAGTGTTGATCTAATATTATTAATCAAAAATAAAAACAATACAACAAAAAAAAAAAAAATCTGAAAGGTTTCAGATTTTAAATTTACGACCCCAAAGACGGTTTTTAACATTTATGGTACCTTTATTATTAAATATATGTCTTCGCATCTTAGTAACCGCAATATCGCAAAATAATTTAAAAAGAACATAGCTTTAGATTCCGATACACAGTTGATATAAAAATATTTTTATATTATTATATTTATTACGATATTAAAAATTAATGTCCTAGGTACCGTCGTTTTATCACAGTGCGAAAGACATACATGTATTTATGCATATTCTTCATTATTTAATTTCTTTAAATATAACACAGGGCGATAATATTTGGTGGCAACAATTTGAAAAGTGAAACAACGCTTGTAATGAATAAACTCAAAATGCCAAAACGAAATGAATAGTCCTTCTGGGCAAACTGCCCCTTTGAATTAAAAATTTTAATAGATATCTAGCATTTATTGTTAGATTTAATGAATTAGATTCTCTCTCTTCTATAAGATCCTATTTGAGGGAGGAGAGTTACAAAAACTCTTTTTATGTGGGGACGTATTTTATTCCCCTTTTTTCCCCTTTAATTATAGCTCATATATTCCGGTTACGAAAAGTCCAAGACTTGTTTTCAACTCCCCAACGGTTGAGCTACAAAATCACTGAATACTACCAGTGTGACGCGAATTCAAATTCTGATTTGCTACATGGGACTTTTCGTGGTTTTCTACATGTAAATGCGACTCAATTTCTTTCCAGAACCTCTCCACGAAGGTATCCCTTTCCTTAGCCATAAAGTCCTCGTGTACTTACTTTGTTGTGATCCAAATAATCCAATCCAGTCTCTAAAAACTGCTTTAATTTTACATAGTTATCCTCACATGATAAAATGTGAACATATGACTTAACTGCAGCTCAGGGGTTCACAGTTAAAAAAAAAAAAAAAAAAATTAACGAGAAACTGCGATATGCCATACAGTGTAAGCGAAAGAAGTAATTTTTTTTTCATATATCCGAAAGCTAATTACTAAGTAAAATAAGTTGCTAATTATAAAAAAAAAATAGTACATTTGAGAAACTATTGATGTCCTGTTTTCCAATAGTTCGCGAACGAAATGTTTTTCAACGTGGAAAACATGGGAGGAACCATACTTTAATTTTACAGTAATGATATCATTTTTGCGACTCTTGTATTATTTTTAAAGCACTTTTAACATAAAAAAATCTGATGTGTACACCATGATTCTTATACGAATATAAATTATACAATTTTTCTTGCTTTTATTTAAATATTAGATTGAATTAAACCTATTCGCCGACCGCCATAAACCACAATAGAATAATGCATATTAAAATTCCTTTGTTTACCATAGCGACACTCTGGCGCTAGGTTTAATTAACATATTATTTCGTTCATATTATAACTCAGAATGCACAAAATGATATCATTTAAAGAATTATCTAATCGTTACATGTGTATTCAAATCTATACTAAAGCTGAACTAGTATAAAAAGAAATTAAGCAAATAAAAAAAAAAGAACAGTTTTTCACAGACGAATGATTTTTCTCATTCAATTAATTCGTTCGTACTTCGAGAGAGGCGCAAAATAATAAAAATCAAATATCTATATAAAAAATACGAAGTAACTCTAAACCTTATTTCCTATAAAAATTTCAGAAAAATAAAGCATGTTTAATGGCAATAATAATTAAGGCGTTATCTTTGTTGTTGCGAACTAAGTTTTTCTAGATTGGCAAAAATCCTATCTCCTGTCAATGAAATCAAGGCCGCATAAACAGGATTTGCGGCAATTAAACACTTAAATGCTGATAATTCTAAAATTGCCACAGGTTTACTAAAGCATAAATCTTAACGGGATAAACAACACAATTCATCTTTTAAGCAAAAATGTACAATTACAAATTAAGATAAAGAACTATATGACTGATCCGCGTAAGAGTAGATATTATATAATATTTTGCGGCCGATTGCAACCAATACAGTGCACATCTACTGTTATAGCCGTCCTATAACAATTTCACGTTTTAGGCTACTCGTTTTTGAGTGATGCGATACGTAAGTATGACATACGTTCGTACAGAGCACGAAAAATTCTCTTCAGAATATTTAAGCATTTAGATTTTTTTGAAGGAAAAGAGTATTTTATTCTGCCCTACGAACGATCTCACGCAAAACATCGTTAATTGCATTCGAGAGCGGTCAAAATGGATATTTTCGTTGAATATCTGCCTGAAACTTTTCGCGATTACAATACTTCCTTTTTACTTCGTACAAGGAAGTAAAAATCATAAAATATATTGTAATATAATCGATACATGTAAAGATTTATAATTATCTTTAATGCGTTTATTAATGACGCAGAATTCATTTAAAACTTCAGAACAAATTTACATGCCCATTGTGACCCCCCTCCCCTTTTTGTTTCGCTATTTTGCTACGAGGTGGCTCTGAAATGAATTATCAGCTAGAAGAGGCCATTTGCAGTAAAAATGACAGGATTATCTGATTTAGAGCTTTTTCGGTTCCTTTCTTTAAATTTTAGAATCAGTTTTTCCTTTTTTTGTTTCGTTAATTAGTACAAGGCTTTTTTTTTTTTTCCTTCGGTTAATTGCTTTTTTGTATTTTATTCTCGGAATCTAGAATTCTTTAAAATTCCATCATAATGATTTCGATGCTACCAGTTTCTTCTCGCTTTCAACCATAATTGCCATCAATTAAATAGAATTCGCTAATTTTCATCTCTGGCATTGTGTCTCATCTAATAATAATAATCATAATGTTTAGATCGGAATTTTACTTCTATTTATAGCAACCAACATACCAGAGATTCTTGTTAAATTAACTTTTAGCGAAGTTTATTTAGAAAATTTCTTCCAATTACATTTTAGTGTCGTAAATTCAAAAGAACTTTCTTTTTTCTGAGTATGAATTATGTCTGACTAAAAGTAAATGGAATATCGTATGAAGGTAATTACAGATGATATTCTAGTAAATTTGAGAAGTTTGATATATGTTGAAACTTCACGACATTTAAATACACTGAAAACATGATTTAGGCAATTTTGCTGATGTTTTGAGTTTTCAATTCAGTTGTATTAATTTGAAAGTCAAAACTTGGGGATTA